CGGTGGTGGCCGCAGCAGCCGTGCAGCGCATGAACCCTGATGTCAGAGTGACCCCTCACCAGAACCAGGTGGGACCTGCTACCGAGATGCTCTACAAGGACAACTTCTTCCAGCACCTGGATGGCGTTGCCAGCGCCCTGGACACCATAGAGGCCCGTGAGTGCCAGGAAGGGCAAGGGGGCCAAGCCCCTGCACCTGCTCCCTGGGTCCCCAGCACTCCTGGCTCCCTGCAGGCACCTATTTGGAGAGACGCTGTCTCCGCTGTCGCACACCACTGCTGGACTCGGGCACGGAGGGGACACGGGGGAACGTGCTGGCCATGGTACCGTCCCTGACCGAGCCTCTGGGGCCAGCCAGCGCCCCCAGGGATGGCGCCTTCCCCATGTGTACCCTGCGGCACTTCCCCCGCACCATCCAGCACACACTGCAGGTAGGCTGAGCTGCCCCAGCCACAGCACCCAGCGAGGAGGCACCGGCACTTTTGTCTTCCTTCCCCTTGTCCCCTCCAGTGGTGAGCCATGGGCAGGATATGGCCCCAGCTGCTTCCTGCTGGCAGCCTGAGTACTGCTGCTGGCCCTGCCAGAGCCTCCCCCTCCCCCTGGGCTTGGGGGCATAAGGGGGGAGGTTCCAGTGCTCGACACCAGTTTCTCCTCCACAGTGGGCCCGTGATGAGTTTGAGGGGCTTTTCCAGCTATCTGCAGAACAAGTCAACCAGTTCATGGAGTGAGTGGGCTTTAGGGGTAATGACACTGGGAGAGGAGTTTCCAGCTCTGCCAGGGCACTGCTGGGAATGGGGAGAGGGTGCCAGACTGCCACATCCCACCCAGATGTCTCACAGGATTGCTCTTGGGCCAGCACCAGCAGCTGTCTGATTTTGCAGGGACCCAGCTTTCCTGGAGCAGCAGCTGCCCGGGAAGGTTCTGGAGCAGGTGTGGGAGAGCCTGCGGGAGCGGCCGCAGGACTGGCGGGACTGCGTGCACTGGGCACGGCGGCGCTGGCAGCGCTGCTACCACGATGCCATCGCCCAGCTGCTGCACATCTACCCCCCGGAGCATGTGAGCCCAGCAGCACGGGGCTGGCACCCCCTGCACGCCCGTCCCTCCAGCAGCCACCTCGCTGCAGCCAGGGGCACACACTGCTGGGCCTGACTCTCCTCTCCCTGTGCCAGGAAACCAGCCCGGGTGTCCCCTTCTGGGCAGGGGACAGGAGCTGTCCCCATCCGCTGACATTCAACCCTGACAATGTGAGTGCAGGGAGGGAGAGCTGTGGGGTCTCACGTGGGTATGGTATGGGCAGAGGGGGAGCCAAGCCTGTGCTGGGCATACTGGGAATACTGAACTGTAGTTGTGCTATGTCTGCCACAGCCTGTGCAGGGCTACCAGGTCCTGGGCTGGGTCTGTCCCTGTCCCCTCAGTGAGGGCACTGCAGGGGACAGCTTGCACGTGCTCTGTGGCCAGAGGAGGAGGAGAGGCTCCTCCACCTCCACTCTGGGGCAAAGCTAGGCAGTTCTACCAGCTCAGGGCAGTGCTGGCAGCCCTTGGCTATGTGGGACCACTCCAGCAAGGCACCCCATGGCCACCCACCCCTGTTCTACTTTGCAGGACACCCACCTGGATTATGTCCTGGCTGCTGCCCACCTCTTTGCCCAAGTGCACAGGGTGCCACCATGCAGTGACCGGGTGGCCATCCGGGCCATCCTCCGTGATGTGGTCCTGCCACCCTTTGCACCCCAGGAGGGGCTCCAGATCCCCCTCACAGAGGAACCCACAGAGGAGGCACAAGTTCCCACAGGTGAGGTTCCCAGGTATGTTCCTGGGCCCAGCCTTGTGGTGGTGGGGCTGTGGCTTCTTGTCCCTGCTCCAGCACCCAAGATGACCCAGGCCAAGGTGGGGGCACCCCAGCAGTGCCACAGAGCAGGAGTATCGTGCCAGGTGTCCCTGTGCCCCCAGATCACAGACAGCTGACAAAGCTTACCCAGGACCTGGTGCAGTGGAGACAGGAACTGCTGGGGGATGAGGACACACAAGCACCCTTGATGGAGCCCGTCCACTTTGAGAAGGTAGCAGAGCCAGGCAGGTGGCCCTGCTCAGCCTGGAGGGGTTGATGTCTCCATGGGATGCAGATGTCCCCCCACTCTTCCCCACAGGACAGTGATGTCCACATAGACTTTATCACAGCAGCATCCAACCTGCGTGCAGAGAACTATGGCATCTCCCCTGCCAACTGGCTGACGGTGAGAGGGGCAGTCTGTGGGGTCAGGAGTCCCTGTCCTGTGTGGGGCAGTCGGTGACACCCTCCTGTCCTCAGAGCAAGCGGATTGCTGGGCGGATCGTGCCCGCCATCATCACCACCACGGCAGCCGTGGCTGGGCTGGCATGCCTGGAGCTCTACAAGCTGGTGTGGGGGTGCCAGGAGCTCAGCTGCTACCGCAACAGCAACATCAGCCTGTCTGCCTGCCTGCTGCTCCGTGTGCAGCCCCTGCCAGCCTCCACCTACCAGGTAGGACCCTCTTCCCTGGGAAAGTGCAGGTGGGGGACACCCAGGGGCCAGTGGAATCTGCTGTGGGATAATGTCAGGGGGAGCCAGGGGAAAGGAGGTGGCCACGCAGCAAGGGCAGCCCTGTCCATAGCACTCCAGAAATGGATCTGGGTGCTGCAGTGGGTTGGGAATGCTGCCAGGCAGTGAGGAACCAGCTCCTTCCCCTGGCTGCCCCCCCAGCACTGAGACATTGCCACTGTCCCATTGGGGTGCTGTGATGCTCTGGGGTGCCCATGGGGCTGAGGCAGCCCCACTGCCCCATGGCAGGCCCCACGCTGAGCCCCACAGCCGGGGTGGGAGCCGCTGCAGCCGCACTCATCTGGCTTATGGAAACCAGCTGTGGCAGGCAGAGAGCAGCTGGCACCGGGCCGGGAAGGGCCGCCCGGGGGAGCGGGGCCGGGGGTCCCGGCGGTGGGGAACCAGGGAGGGAGGGCGGGGGTGGGGGCAGGCCCAGATTGGGACCGTCTGGGCTATAGAGGCCCCTTTGTCTGGGGGTTTATGGCGTGCGAGGCAAGGCAGCCCTTCCGGCACGGCAGGAAGCGCCGATTGGAACCAGATTGGCCCGGGGGGCCCAGGGCCGGGGGCAGGAAGAGGGGGAGGGAGGGAGGGAGGCGACTCCACTGCCTTGTGCCAGCTCCAGCACCACTTCGGGCTGATGGCTGCCCCACAGCTCCCTCAAACCCCATGCCCAGCCCTGTGCCATCCTGGCTGCAGTGTCCCTGGGCTGGCATCATCCCTGGATGGAGGATGCTGCTGGGTCTGGCCATGCCCTCAGGTCCCTGCAGCAGCACCCAACACCTCCATGTGCCAGGGCGAGGACAGCTGGTGTGACATTTCACACCCGGCTGCTTGGCTGTGGTGGGAACACATGTCCCCAAGGCCTGCTTGGTGTGACCTATGTCCCCATGGGGACCTGGGGAGCCCATGCTGGGAGCCAGCCTTGTCCAGAGGAATATGTTTCCCAGGGTCAGAGCAATGCACTTTGGTGGTGGAGGGCTAGGCCATGGCTTTCCCTTTGTGCCGAGCAGTTGCTGCCCCGGTGAGGATGGGGTTAAGCCCTTCTCTGCACCAGTGGGATAAGTGCAGGCAGCAGAAGGCGGAGGTGAGAAGGCAACAGAAAGCAGGAGGGAGAGTGACCAGGTGTGAGCACCCCTCCCGAGTGGGGCTGGGGCCAGGCGGGCAGTGCTGGCGCTGCCTGCAGAGAGGGCAGATGGCCGAGCAGCCCTGCCAGACGGCCCCGGGCTTGGCACCACACCGGCCTCCTTGGGCTGGAGCAGGGGTCGTGGGGCCACAGGCATGAGAAGAGATGATTGTGTGGGCCTGGCCAATGCCTCAATGGCCTTTTGTGCGCTGTCCTGGCCCGGGGCTAGGGGCAGTGCCGGCCCCACACTGACACTGACCCTTAAGTGGACCCCAGCAGTGCTGGGGGGATAGTTGTGTCCCCCCCCTGCCCCTGCACCGCCATGGTGCCCCCATCACCCTGCCCATTTGCCTGCCCTGGTGTCCCCCAGCCCTTGTGCTGCACCAGTCCCTGCCCCATGGGGCTGGTCAGGCAGGATCTGGGGTGCCAGTGCTGGCTGCCACCCCCTGGCAGTACGGCGGGCGGGAGTGGAGCTGCTGGGACCGGCTGGAGCTGCGGGCAGTCGGCGCAGATGGGCAGGCCATGACGGTGCAGGAGGTGCTGGACTGGCTGCAGGTGAGCCCAGCGCTGCCAGCGCTCAGTCAGGTCACCCTGGGAGATGCAGGGCCAGATCCTGACACCCGAATCTTGCAGAGGACACATGGCTGGACCGTGACCATGCTCCTGTGTGGTGACACCATGCTCTATGACAGCAAGGCAGATGCAGAGACCCGGGCCCGGCAGCAGGCACAGAGGTAGGTCCAGGGCTCCAGGGCCCAATCCTGACCCGGGGGGGGCTTCCAGCCCCCACTGCCTCAATCCTGAGCCACTCCAGCTGCAGTGCAGCTCCCAGCTGGCTGCTGGATAAACATCCTGCCGGCAGCACTTCCCGTGGCGGGACCCCTGCCCGGCCCCTTGCTGCCGGCCCCTGCATCCCACCAGCCTGGCCGGACACCCCTGAGGGGCCCAAGGCACCCCTGGAGCACTCAGCCAGCCTTGGGGGACAAGCCAGTGTCCCCAAAACCCCCTTTTTCTGCTACAGGTTATCCGAGAGCTTGGAGGATGCCAGGATGCCGCAGCAGCAGGACCTGGAGCTGCTGTATATGTGCGAGGGAGAGGATGCTGAGGCTGAAGATAGCCGTCCCCCTCTCCTGTGCTCCCTACCTTGAGCAAGGGGCCAGCTTCTCCTGCCCCACGCAATAAAAGCTGCAGGCTGCAATAGCCCTCCTTGCAAAACCCCCCTGCTTGCCCCGGCCAGGAGTCGGGGCACAGGCACTCCCTTTGATAAAGGCTGCGGCACCCAGACCGTATAAAACGGGGGTTTATTTACAGGGTGGGGGTGCGGGCCGCCGCAGCAGCCGGGCTAAATGTAGCCGATAACGTCGTTGCAGATGATGGGCTGGCGGCTGCGGCTGTTCATCAAGGCGGTGAAGCGGTGGAAGTCCGTGGCCAGCTGGGCGATGTTGCTGTGGGACTGGTGGAAGCAGGCGCCCTTGGGCTGTCCCCCCAGCCCCAGCGGGCAGGAGAAACGCTTGGTGGCATCGCGGCCCCCCGGCCGGGCACCGTCGGTCCCCCGGGGCCGGGCCATGTTGGCCAGCTTGCGGCGCACGTTGCCCGAGAGGCTGAGCAGGAAGGCGGGGGGCTTGGCCAGCCGGCGGGAGGGCTCGGCGGGGGCCCGGCGACGCGGTTCGGCGCCCACCTCGGGCAGGTCCATCCAGTTCTCCACCAGGTCAGCGAAGCAGTTGTCGCCCAGCACCAGAGGCTGCCGGTTCCGGCTCTGCGACAGCAGCGCTACAGTCCAGTCCTGCGTGTCGGCGGGCTCCAGGGCCCGCCACTGCTCCAGGCAGGCGTCCGAGGTGGATTTGGGGCGGACACGGCGGGCGGGGACGGGCGGCGGGGCGGCGGGGCCGGCGGAGAGCCGGTGTGCCCGTTGGCAGGGCAGCAGATGCCGGCGCCGCACGGGCGCCTCCTCTTCCCTCCACGTGCCCCCCGACGCCTCCGAGTAGCCCGAGTCGAACTCCAGGCTGCGCTCGCTGGCCGGGGGGGAGTGAGCGGCCGGGCCGCCCCCCTCCTCCTCCTCGCCACCGGGATCCAGGCTGCAGGCCGAGTCCGCCGCCGAGCCGGGGCGCGGGGCACGGGGGGCCGGCCCCGTGGCCCTCCCGGGGTGCTGCGGTGTCTGCCGCGTGCCGCGCATGTGCGCCCGCGGCGTCGGGCCCGCGTCCCGCCGGCACCACTGCAGGGAAAGGGAGATCAGCACATGGCCAGCACCGCCATCTCCATCCCATCCCACCCTCCTCGGCACCCCGCCATCCCCATCCCACCCTGCTCGGCACCCCGCGCCCCCCCGCCCCGGCTGGTGGGGGCTTCGCTGGCGCAATGGGCGTGCGGCAGGGTGCGGAGAGCGGGCCGCAGGTCCCGGCTTGCCTCCAGCCCCGGGCCCCGCTTTCCTGCGGCTCCTGCGCGGAGCCGGCCGGCGTGCAGCGGCTTGTCGGGTGAGCAAGCAGGCACCCAGCCCCGGCCGTGCCTGCGGGAAATGACAGAGGGCCACGGCACGTAGGAGCGGGCGCTGCACTGCCCCCCCCGACAGCCCCTCGAGTGCCCCCTTCTCGGCGGGGAGGCAGCCGGGGCACCCCTCCGGCAGAGCCCCACTCGTGGCACGGGGCCAGCGGCAGCCCCGGGGCACCCGCGGGTGCTGGGGTGGGGCTCTGCCCCCGCGCCTTGGCAGGGCCACCCACCCACCCCGTGCCCTCCAGCTGGGGACACCCCAGGTGACGTCAGGGTGCAGCCAGGCCTGCGCCCAAGGCCGGGACCCCCCAAAGGCCGGGAATTACAGGGGACCAAGGCAGCCAGGGCTGAACGGAGCACGGCCGGGCGGGCGCTGGAAGGGACTGCTGGCTCCCGCAGCCGGGCCGCTCCTCGCTCTTGAATTCCTATTGTCTGAACCCAAAAGCAGGGTGTTACGTCCGCTTTCCTTTCCGCGCTGGAGTCGCGGGAAGCTGAGTGTGCAGGAGGGATTGCTTCCAGGACCGATAATTCTGTCCTCTCTGGCTGGCCCTGACACAGCTGCTGGCAGGACTATCCTTGTCCCTCTCCGCGTCCCCGTGCAAATCCCTGTCCCCCTCCCCGCTGGCTGGGACCCTCTCATCCAGCCGTAGTGGCAATGTGCCACCACTTCGAGCCGCCCAGTCCTGCCGCTGGCCGGGAACACTGGGGCAGCCGGTTGTGAGGTGCTGGGTAAGCATGTGGCAGGCCCAGGAGAGCCGAAGGGCCACCCTGTCACCGCCGTCCCTCGGGGCAGCCCAGGTGGGTGGCAGGGTGGCAGCTCCGGGGGGACGGTGCCGCTGGCACCTTGACAGCTGGACGCCGTGCCCGCTGGCCACCAGTTTCCCCGCACCACCAGGGTCCCACCGGGCACACACGTCCCCCGCGCCGCCTTTGGCCTCGCCTGTAATGTCACGGCCTTGATGTCACCGGCAGCGCCCGGACGTCACGGAATCCCGCAGTCCCGGGGCGGCGGGGCGCGGGCGCGGTGGTCCCGTCCCGTTCCCTCCCGGTGCCCGCGGCGGCACTCACCCGGTCGGCGCCGAGCTCGTCTGGGCGGGCGTTGTGCATGCCCGGTCCTGCTCCCCCGGCGCCGCTCCCGGCCCCGCTCCCAGAGCCGCCGGTACCGGTGGCGGAGCAGCAGCAGCTGCAGCAGCGACAGCGGACGGAGCGCCCGGCCGTGCCCGCCGCCTCCCGGCGCTGCCCGGCGGCCCCGCCCCGCCCCGCCCCGGCCAATGGGGCCGCCGTAACGTGAGCCCGGCCCGCACCGGCACCGCCGCCCCGGGGCCCCGCCCCGCCCACGGACCCCTCCCCGCCGCCCCGGGGCCCCGCGCCGGGCACCACCCGGGCACCGCCGGGCCAGGCGGGATCCGTGTCCCGGCCGGCGGCACCGCGGGCACCGGGCGTCCCGCAGCTCGGTATGCCCCGCAGGGAAGGAAGGCAGCCCCGGTACAGGAGCCCCGGCGGAGGCATCCCCCGTCGGCACCCCACGCCACCGGGCTGCCAGAGCCGGGCCGGGCGCTGGAGGCGGGAAGGGAAGAGTGACCCGGGCCGCGGTGCCCGTTAATTGGGAACTAATAACGCTTAATGGGGATCCCGGGAGAAGCGGCACTGGTTTGCAAATGAACGAGAACACGGCCAAAAATTACCTCCCAGCTAATTTTCCCGGTTCCCGAGCGTGCCGCGTGGTGAAGCAGCGTGGGGTGGCAGCCAAACCCCACGGAGCTGCGAGTGGCGAGGGGCTGGGAGCGGCGGCGTGCAGAGCCGGGGGCACTGGAGCCGTGCCCTGTCCCTCCCCTGGCCGGGCCGGCCACCACGGGTGGGGATGGACGGCATGACGCCGGGCTGGGGTGGTGCCCAGCAGCCCTGGCAACCGGCTGCAGCTTGTCCCAAACACCCAGCGAGCCATGGGCATGCACGGACACCTCACCTTCCTCCTCCTCAGCCTCTGTGCCCCGGGTAGGTGCTTCAAGATCACAGTGTTCGGGGCACCCTTTGCCAGATCGTGGGTGGATGACTGAGAGGAAGGCAACAGGGAAGAGGCTCTCCTCGGTTGCTCCCACATTCCTGGGGCTGACCCCAGGATGGGCAGAGGGGTTGGCAGCTGCCTGGCTGGGTTGAGGCGGGGAGGGGGCATCACACGAGCATGTGCTCAGGGCATTCCCGGGTGTCCTCAGGGGTCCTCAGCATTTCCAGGATGTTACTGGGATTTCTTTTGGGCATCACTGTGGCATATCCAGACACCAGTGGGGTTTCATCAGAGCATCTCACAGAGGGAATTCTGGGGCCTCCCCAGGGTATTGCCAGGGCACACCTGGCAGGCTGTGGTGACACTCTCCTCTTTGCAGGGACTTTTGTCAGAGCAACAGGTAAGAGCAGGGTGCTTTGGACCCAGCTGTGTCTGCCAGGGAACGCTGTGCCTGCATTGGTGCTTGGGTGCAGGAGCAGAGCTCCGTAAGTACAGCTGGATGAGCCATCAGTGATCCCTGGGGTCTTCCACCAGTCCTGCCTGACCTGCCACGTGTGGTGACCCTGAGTGAGGACACAGTGCCAGGCACCCGTGTCACTGAGGTGACCGTGTCCTGCAGCAACTCAAGCAGCAGTCCCAATGTCACCCTGGACAGCATCGAGCACGAGCACCCCTTCAACTCCATCGCCATCAGCTCTGACCCCACAGATGCCACCATGTTCTGGGCAGAGGTGTGGCTGGGGAATGGGGAGTGGGGCAGGAGCTGGCAGGCGCCCTGCTGAGTGCCTGTGTCCCCATGGCAGGTGACACTGCGTGCTGGCGCAGAGCTCGATGCCCGCCGGGTGAACCAGTACACATTGATCCTGCGGGCTGCTTGTCCTGGTGAGGATGAGGTGGAGGAGCGGCTCTTTGTCCGGGTGACAGCAGGCCACATGCTGCGCTGTGAGACCCTCTTTGCCAGCACAGGTGGGAACAGGGGGGCACAGGGCAGTGGGGGCTGTGGGTGCCAGCCAGCACCAAGCTCTCACAGCTGTGCTCTGCTCCAGAGGGTGATGTGGTGCAGGTGCTGGCAGATGTGGCGCCCCGGACGCCCCTGTACGTGGTGCTGCCACAGCCACTGGGTGGGCTGACGGTGAGTGGCAGCTCCCTGGGGGCCACACCCCCACAGAAGGGAGAAGCCTTGGGGACAGCTGAACCCTGGATATAGAGGAGTGGGACAGGGGTTCCCATCACCCTCCTTTCTGCAGTTCAGGCTCCGAAACCGCAACACACCACTCACGCTCACCCGCCAGGGCCTGGTGCTGGCACCTGACAATGGTTTTGATCCCAGCAAGGACACCCAGGTGGGCACCAGCAGCCCCAGGCTGGTCACAGCCACCTCTCAGTCCACTGGGACTTAACCCCTCCCTGGCCACAGCTCTCCCTCCACATCTTGCTCTGCCCATTAGGCCCCTGTCTCCCCCTGGACCCACAAGTGCTCCAGCCCTGTCCCCATCCCCTTCCGCATCTCAAGTCCTGTCCATATCCTCATCCCTGTCTGTATTCCTGCCCATTCTAGTCTCCAGCTCATACTTATCTCCATCTCCACACCTCTTCCCACCTCTGTTCCTACTCCAAGCCCCATTCTCATCTCTTGCCCTCTCTCCTTTGTCTCTGTTCCTGTTTCTGTTCCCATCCCATTGCTATTCCTGTCCCCCTCCCCATCCCAATCCCCATCCCCATCCCCATTGTTGGTGCCACCCAGGGCTGTCCCACAGCTGCCCCGGTGCTGGCCCACAGACGTTCCTGTTGGACATTGAGGTGATGGATCGTCACGGGCACAACTGCAGCAGGGCTCTAAGGGTGGAGGTGCTGCCATCACGCCGTCCCCGCGTCACCTTCCCGTGAGTGGGGCTGGGCCAGGAGGGGGGTGCTGGTGGCACCGGGCCGTGCCACAATGCCCACCTTGCCTGCAGTGAGCCACACCGGGCTGTGACAGTGACAGAAGGCATTGGCCCTGGGGAGGTGGTCACACAGGTCCATGCCAGAGGTGACAATGTCCGCTATGCCATCCTCGCTCCTGTGGCTCCTGTGCTCTTCGCCATTGACGAGGGTGAGCACGGCAGCAGGGATCACCCTGTCCCTGTCCCTGTGCCCAGTGTGAGGCCATGGCTCTTCCTGCAGTGACAGGGGAGATCCGCAGCACCCGGCGGCTACAGGCGATCCGTGCCCACCTCCTCATCCAGGCTTACAACGCGCTGCACCCACACGACCACGCCACCGCCACGGTCAATGTCACCGTGCAGGGGACAGACCGCCTGGCACCGAGATGTGTCCCAGCCATCTTCGTGTATGGTTCAGGGGGGAGCGGGTGCATGGAGTCTCTGCCAAACCCAGGACATGGGACAGAGGCTGAGCTGCTGACTGCCCCGCCACAGGTCCCAGGTGCCTGAAACCATGTCCCCTGGCAGCACGTTGGTGACACTGAGGTGCACCAGCTCCACCAGCACTGATGGGTGTCTGCACTATGTTCTCGAGGGGCCTCCCTCCTCCCTCTCCCACTTCTGCATGGAGGGGCCACAGCTGAAGGTGAGTGGGGCCATGGGCAGTGCCCAGGTGGACAGCAGGCCCAGACCCCAAAGTGACAATGGGACCCTGTGACATGTGCTGTCATGCCAGGTTCTGGGTCAGGGCTCCCTGCTCCCCAAGGCCTGCTTGTTCTCCTCACTTGCTCCCTCCTTCTCCCCTGGCATCGCAGCTTTGTGGGACACCCTGGCTTTGTGGGACACTCTGGCTTTGCAGAGCATCTGAGCTTTGCAGAGTGCCTCAGCTCAGCCTGAGTCTCCCCTCCTGGCTTGGCAGGTCAACACCACCCTGGACTATGACTCGGAGGCCATGGCTGCTCTGGGCTTCCAGTTCACAGCCACCATTGTGGTGACAGTGGGAGGGCAGCCCCGACAGAGCAGTGAGTGCCCATGTCCCTAGGGTGGGAAAACAACTTTCCCAATCCCCAAACCAGCAGATCACGGAGGAAACATCCCTTCCCTGCTGCCCCAGAGATGCCCACCCCAGAGGTGGTGCCTCTGTCCCCATGTCACCCAGCCCAGCACAGGCTGTGCGGGGGTGCCAGCCTGGCTGAGCAGCTGTGTGCCACACAGCCCGTGTGCCTGTGCTTGTGACGATGACACCTGTCAACGAATTCAGACCAGTGTGCCCCAGCAGTGCCACCTTCACTGTGCCAGAGACAGCAGCTTTTGGCAGCCTCGTGGGGCGTGTGGCTGGCACTGACCGTGACTACCCCCAGGAGAGCCTGGAGTACAGCCTGGAGGGGGGGCCTGGCCCTGCACAGCCCTTCTCCATCGACAGGCGCACAGGTGAGCCCCCAGCCCCTTTCCCAGTCCCCGCCACACCCATGGCCCCACCGGCTCCCAGCAGCTCCCAGCTCCCACAGGCGAGATCCGCGTGGTGGGACCCCTGGACTCGCAGCAGCACAAGAGCTACAGGCTGGTGGTGCGGCTGACGGACACCCACAATGACCTGGACCCGAGGAAGAGGCAGAGCCGTCTGTGCGATGTGTCTGTGCGCCTGCAGGTGTGAGGGCAGCCCGCTGGGTGGGCTGTGGTGGGGGTGAGGACTGGGGGTGCCTACCCCACCGCTTCCCCCTGCTCCCGACAGGCTGTGCTGGACCAGCTGCCGGAGTGCATCCCCGAGGTGCAGGAGCTGCGGATCACGGCCGGGTCCCCGGGCAGCCGCCAGCCTGTCACCCGCCTGCTGTGCCACGGCAGCCCCGACAGCGCCCTGCTGACCTACACCATTGTTGGAGGTGAGGAGCGACCAAGGCACGGCACAAACCAGCCCTCGCCGTGGTGTGACACTGAGCAGACCCTCTCGTCCAGGCAATGAGGATGGGCGCTTTCGGCTGGAGGGGAACACCCTTGTCTACCTGCCCGGTGACCGAGCCGAGCCCCAGCCCTTTGTCCTGCTGGTGGAGGTGTGGGGTGGCTCTGGTGGCCGCCGCCGCAGCAGCCTGGTGGCACTGGTGGTGCACGTCACCCCCCGGAGCACCCCGGTGCCAGCCAGCACCACCACTCAGCGCACGGTGAGCAGAGCCGTGGCCGGGAGGAGCTCTGGGGTCCCTTGGAGCACCCTCCCATGGCCCCTCACCCCCGCCTCCACAGACTCTGCAGAAGGAGCCGCTGGTTGTCCTGCAGACGGAGGCGGTGTGGCACCCGCCAGCCTGGTTTGTGGCTGTGCTGACCCTCTCTGGTGTCCTGCTGCTGGCCACCCTGGGCTGCACGGCCCGGAAGCTGCTGTGCAAGTGAGCCCCAGCCCTCCTCACGGCACGGCTCAGTGAGCAAGGCTGAGGGTTCACGGCTGCCTTCTGCTCCTCCCACAGCAACCGGGCCCCTGGCAAGCTGTTCCTGGCCAAGAGGTGAGTGCTGGATGGCCAGGGTGGTCACATTGGTGGTTGTATTGTCCTTGCAGGTAGCCAGGGAGACGCAGCACACAGGGTATGTTTAATATT